AAAAAATAAAAAGATAGAGAAAATGATAATTTTTTTTTAATTTTTATAAAAAATTAGAGAGAAAATATTGATTAATATAACCTAAAAAAAAAATAAAAAGATAGAAAAAATGATAAAGAAGACTTTAGTACTGCACTTTAATATATTATTGTTGTTGTTTAACCAATCATTTGAAAATTTTAGCTAATTTTACACGTAAGCCAATCGAATCCAACATATCAGCACTGTCTTTATTCTTACAGTAAAGCTCGCCACTAAAATCCATTCTCATAGTGGGATGCCTGCAGCTACATAAATCCAATCATCTATGTTAGGATAAAATACACTTCAATCTTTAAAATTTATTTTCTTTTGTGTCTCTCTATTCTTTTAAATTTTAATTTTGTCAAATTTATTCTTACAGTTTTTAAATAATCATTTAAATTGTTAATGGAATAATTATAAATTTTAATTATGATTCCTAAAGTATACGCTTTGTAACATTTTGATTCTTTAACTCCTCATTTTTCGATAATTTTATCTCTTACTATTTTAAATTTACATTTGATCTTTTTTTATCAATAAGAACTAAAGTGAAATAGAACACATATTTTAAAAATCATATTTTTATTTTATTATCATTTTATTAACTATTTAGATGGTCCATTTAAAATTAAACTAAATGGACTCCAACTAAAAATTTTAAAGATGAAATTGACAAAATTAAAATTTTAAAAAATTAAAATAACACAAAACACATATCTTAAGAAACATAAATGTAATTTATGCTAATATGTTATGGTACAGTTTAATAGAATGGTGCTATCCTGTATGCAGCTTTGTTCATTGTCATCATGTCATGCATCTTCATCAATATCAAACATTGATCTGCATTTCATATTTGAGTGAACAGAGAAAAAATGGTGGAATTAGTGAATCAATCCGAACTGTTCCAAACTGTTTGATTCGGTTTTTTTAGGGTGCAGTTTGCTTCCTATTCTAGTAATCAATAACTATTTATTATGGTTCAATTCATGGAACCTTTAAAAGAAACGATTTTCAATCTAAAAAACTTTGACACATTACAATATATAAGAGTTTTACGGATCAAACTTTTTAGTCTTTAAAAGTGGTAATTTTGTTGCAAAAGACATTTAGAAACCAATTTCTATCATTGTGAGGATAGTTACTAAAAGGTCGTCCCAAAACATAAAAAATAAGGCTTTTAGTGACAAAATTTTGAAAATGTCACTAATAAATACACTTTTAGGGACAAAATAATTTGGTCTCAAAATGGTTTATTTTTTGAGACAAAAAATTTGGTTCAAAAAAGATAATAATTCATCACTAATGTCCAATTTTTGTTGCTAAAAATATAATGACACTTTTCGCAACAAAAATATTTAGTCCCTAAAAATTAATTTTGTCCCTAAATTTTGGTCTCTAAAATATTAATTTTTTGTAGTGACACCATGATTACAAACCAAAATTGATTGTTTTTAATAATATTGTAATTTTTTAACAAACAAATATACACAAAGTAAATAGAATGATTTGATAACTTGTAGTGATTTTTTAATTTTTTAATTAAAAATTCTATTTTCCAAACAAGGCTTATGTGGTTGTGAGTAAAACTTTTTGGGTGGGTCCAAAAGGAGGCATTATAAGATAAAAATTTTGATTTTGATTTTTTTTTTTTAAATTTTAGTCATTTGAAAAAAAAGAAAAAAAAGAAGAAGATGTTGTTTAGACTGGTGAGACTCATTACAGATATTTCAATGATCCTTACTATTTATTTTTTATATGACAACGTACAAACTATTTAGAAAAAATCAAGTCAATTCGATAGTTGTAAGTTACATTAGATTATGACATTTATTTGTAAAACACAAATAAATAGCTTTTAAAAATTAGACTAGCCATTTTTTGAGAGATAAATGTATTAACTAACATGATTGTAGTTATCGAATCAACTTGATTTTTTTTTTTTTTTAAATTTATGAATGATCTGTATATTGCATTAGAAAAATAAATGATTCGAATAATTGAGGTGATACCCATGATAAGTCATGACCCCATCAAGAGAAAAGCTAGGTCTTAGGAAAAAAAAAACATTGAAAAATCAAACTACACCTTAAATCCCATCAAATGGAGTCGACTAAATAAATCCTTCTTATTCACTCGACTCTATCAACGGCGATTTGATTAGTCATGTTAATGTATATATGGTATAAATTGCTATATATATTAAATATTGATTTCCTAGATATATTAGATATTGCCATAGTTAGGTCTCTTATAGGACATTTTTTCTCATAATTAGATTTCTAGTAGGATACTCTCTCTTAACTTATATATCCAGGCCTTCTATTATATAAGACAATTCATTAAATACAATAAATATTATTTCATCTCTCTACTATTCTAATATGGTATCAGAACTAGATTAAATACCTAGTAATTTCGCTTTACCGGCGGGTTTGTCGCCTTACCTTGATTGCCCACTAAACCTCTACCTATTTAGCTTTCAAATTTTCCTATTAGTATCTCTTCGTTGTAATTTCTTCCTCTATCTGCTAATTTATTCCTACTCCAAATGTCTTTATCATATTTTTTTTTATTTTTTTTACTTGCAATTCACTTTTTTGTGTGTTTCTGTTCCACTTTGTCTTTCCCTCTGTTTGAACCTCAAATAGGTTTCTATCTTCCAATCTATTTAAGTTTAAGAGGGGGTATTATACCTATGTCATGGTGAGCATGGTGATACACCATGCAAACCACCCAAGTCGCCTCATTGGCGTACACTCTAAGCCACCCTCTTGGTGCACGTCCCTAAGTCGTCCCCCTTGGCGCACCACCTAAGTCACTCTCTCTGGTGCATAACCTAAGCCGCTCTTTGCGCACCATACAAGCCACCCCCTGACACACTCAGTCATCTGTTGCCATCATCGTTCAACACCACGTCATAAGTTATGTGTGTGCCACATTTGGTTCAACATCCAGTCTCTGGTGCACAACCTAAGTCGCTCCTTGCGAACAATCCAAGCCGTCCCTTGGCGCACTCAATTATATGTTGCCATCATCGTTCAGTATCACGTCATAAGTTATATACCACGATTGCTGGTTCAAGATCTAGTTCTCTATATCTATTCGACATAACCCCTTTAAACTGTCTTGACATTGATTCCGGTTAGCCAATCTCTATAACGGCCTGGCATGACCCCGTAAACTGTCCTGATATTGATTCTGGTTAACTTTTACAATGGTCCAGCATGACCCCTTTAAACTGTCCCGATATTGATTCCGATTAGCTCCTATAATGGACTGACATGACCATAAACTGTTTCCCGACATTAACTCCGGCCTCTGATCTCGACATTAGTTCTAGCCAGTTTCTATATCGGTTCGACACGACCTTAAACTGTCCCGGCATTAGTTTCAGCCAGTTCCTACAATGGTTCGACACGACCATAAATTGTCTCCTGGCATTAGTTCCGGCCTCTGATCTATTTCAAACGTCCTTGCGCTCCTATTCAGATTTTCCAATTTATTTGCCTTTTATTTTATTTAGTTATATTTCATGTTTTAGTTTCTCTCTCCAAACTCAAAATGTTTATCCTCCTTAAGTTTGAGGGGAGATGTTAATGTATATACAGTATATATTGCTACATATATTGCGTATTGATTTCTTAGATATAGTAGGTATTGCCATATTTAGGTCTCTTATAGGATACTCTTTCTCATAGTTAAATTTCTAGTAGGATACTCTCTCTCAGCGTATATATACAGGCCTTCTATTATATAGGACAATTCATTAAATACAACACATATTATTTCTTCTCTCTATTATTCTAACAAGTCAAATTACGGACATTCATATTTCTATTTACTACACTAACCTACGTCAATCTAGGTCTCAATATATTTTCTCTCAACTTATTTTCTATCGGTATTATTCCTACCTATTTACGAATATACTTATTCTTAATTCTGTCTTTTCTAATTTTGCCATACATTTATCTTAGTATTTTCATCTCAGAAACACTCATCTTATCTATATGTTGTTTCTTAATTACTCAATACTTCGTCCCATATAGCATTACTAGTCTAATAGCCGTTCTATAGAACTTTCATTTTAGTCTAGTGGATACTGGTTTATCGCACAATATTCTAGACACACTCTTAAACTTAAGCCACCTTGCCTTAAATCTATGGATCACATTCGTTTCAATCTCCCTAGTCGTGAAAAAAAACACATTACAAAAAATTAAAGTTTTAGAGGCCAAAATTTAAGGACAAAATTATTTTTTAGGGACAAATAATTTTGTTACGAAAAGTGTCGTCATTATATTTTTAGTAACAAAAATTGGACATTAGTGACGAATTTTATCCTTTTGGGACCAAATTTTTTTCTCTAAAGAATAAACCATTTTGAAAATAAATTATTTTGTCCCTAAAAGTCTATTTATTAGTGACATTTTCAAAATTTTATCGCTAAATGCTTTGTTTTTTACTTTTCGGGACGACTTTTTAGTGACTATCCTTATGACGATGGAAATTGGTCTCTAAATATCTTTTGCAATAAAATTTTCACTTTTAGAGACCACAATTTAGTCTCTAAAACTCTTATATGTTGCAGTGACATTTAGAAAATATATAAAAAAAAAAAATAAAATGCATGCTTTCAGGTACATTCTCAGCATAAACTATACGTTAAATTTGAATCCATATGCAAACTTTTCTAAATATTTGTTTAAGTAGTTTGTTTTGGAAAAAGTTAGGAGTTAAAAGAACATACAATTGAGAGCGGCCACCAAAAGCAAAATCGTTTCCAGTGGAATAAATATTTATAAAACTAATAAATTTCTTTGAAGCGAACAAAAGAATAAAAAATTGGACAAGAATGAATAATTTAGCTTTATGTGTTTGTGTTTGACAAAGTTGGTCGGTTGCATAGATGGATGTTAGGTAAAACTGTTTTATATAGACAAGGCTTTAGTTGCGGTTGTGCTTTGTGTTTAAATACACAAGGCCTTAGCTCTTGTTAAGTCCCACCTCTCCTCCATCAATTCACTCTCACACACACTCTCTCTCTCTCTCTCTCTCTCAGCCAGCAAAACATGGCAGCCAGTTCTTCATTCCTCTCAGCCATGTCAAGGAGGTAAGTATAAAATGCTAAATCATCTGGAAATTCTTTGCAATTATATTCTCCAAATCTTTTTACGATTTGTGAAGGGTATATTTGAAAACATACTAAAATAATCATAAAGGTAAAAAAATATTATCAAAAAATAAGTAACCTTTTTATTTTTCTGCCTATCTTTCTATAAAAAGTTAAAATTAACTAAAATAGTTAATTTCCAAAACAATTCTTAATTATTTGAGTTTATGCTATGTATGTTAATAAAAGAAAAGGTATACGTGGTGCTCCTTAAATTTTATTAGCTAAAATATTAGTACGCACCACTCTTTTGTGTCTTTTTAAAAGGGAAATTCTAATATACACGCCATTTAAAAATGGTATACTATATGCATCTTTAAATATGTCATTTTATTATTTAATTATGATTAATTTTTATTTTTAATTATAATATTATTTTAGTTATGACTTATAAATTTTTTAATTATGTATTATGTTATGTTTAGTTATAATATTTTTTTTTAATTATGACTCAAAAAATATATAATTATAATCATTTGTTATAAAATATATATGATACACGCTCTTTACATAATGTGTATCATAATATTTTCCTTTTAAAAATCAACATAAATAAGTGATGCGGAAAGTATTTTAAAATCACTAAATAACTTTTGATTAATGTGAATGTTTACCCACCATATCATGGGCTTTGTACTACAACGAAGAAGGTCAAGTCTTCGTCCCTACTCGTAAGGGTCAGACCGTGTTACAAAAATAATGATGTTGATAATTTGTTCCTATAACATATAAGAGTTTTAAAAGTTAATATTTTGATTTTAAAAGTAAAAATTTTATTATAAAAGATATTTAGGGACTAATTTCTATTGTCATGAAGATAGTTGCTAAAATATTGTTTCAAAAAGTCAAAAATAAGATTTTTTAGTGACGAAATTTTAAAAATTTCACTAATAAATAGATTTTTAGAACAAAATAATTTAGTTTTAAAATTGTTTATTTTTTGTGATAAAAAATTTGATCTCAAAAGGATAATAATTCAACACTAATATCTAATTTTTGTTGTTAAAAATATAATAACGACACTTTTCGAAATAAAAATATTTGGTTCCTAAAAAATAATTTTATTTCTAAATTTTAATTTCTAAAACTTTAATTTTTTTATAGTGTGTTGACATTTTCATATCATATTTTATAATTTGTTTAATCTAGTACATTCACTTGTAGTGGATTCTGTTTAAATTTTATAATTAATCTGATAATTATAAATTTTAAATTTTAAACTTTAATTATAAATTATAAGTTTTATAATTTTTATAAAATAAAAATTAATCTGATAATTATAATTATATTATTTCAACGCATTTATTTTAAAAAAATAGATAAATTACGAATACATTTTTTGTGATTTATTTAAAATATAGATTGTCTCATATAGTTTGGAAAATTACAAATACCCTCTTGTTGTGATGTTTTATTTAACAAAATTAATTGAAAAAATAAAATTCTTAACTGCTCTTCGATATAATAATAAAATTAGTTGAATTATTAATTGAAATAAATTTATGATATCATTAAAAATTATTAATTGACTGAATAATTTATTAATAAAAGAGACAAACCTTAAAAGATATATTTGTAATTTATCCTTAAAAAAATGAATAATAAATATAATTTTAAAAATACATAATAACATTGGTAATATTATAGTACATATCTTTGTGAAATGAGGAATTCTATAATACATACCTTAAAAAATTAGGTATCATATAACCTATTTATGATTTGATTATAACAGTTGTGTGAATCTGTTTGCGACATTGAATCTATTTGATTATAACAATTGTGTGAATCTGTTTGCCTCATCGAATCTGTTTGCATTGCTATTTTCTTCATGTAACAAAAGGATTTGGTTTGGCAATTGTTCCCACTTTCTTAATTGCAGATGCGCACACCATTTTCAGAAGAATTTTTTTACATAGAATCATATTTTTTATTTTATTTTCTCATTTTAAAGCATAAATGGGTGGGTCCTAAAATATTTATGGATGTGGGTCTCATTGTTACATGTCTGATGATTGGAAAAAGAAATAAAAACTGGAATTATGTATACGAATACCATTCAGTGTGTTTGGTTTGAGTTTTTTGGATTAAATTTTTTGAAAATTAACTTTTTTTGATTTTCATATTTTTTTATTTTTAGTGAATATTTTTTAAATTTTAAACGTTCTTTTTACTTTTTTAAATGCACCTTACTTAGATGTATCTAAAAAGTAAAAAATTGTGAAAAAATATTTTAAAAAATTAATAAATACATAAAAATACAAAAAATTTACTGAATTCTTGTATTTTTTTTTTTTTGTATTTTTGGTATTTAGTGAATTTTTAAAAGATTTTTTTAACAATTTTTTTACTTTATAAATATATTTATGTTAGGTGTGTCTAAAAAATAAAAAAAAAAATTGCTTAAAATATTTTAAAATTTTAATAAAAATAAAAAAATACGAAAAATAAAAAAAAATTCTTAAAAGTATTTTTTAAAAAAGTAAAAACGAGCAGGGGGACAAAAGTGGATCTAGGTTTTATAGCACCAGAGGCCAAACATGGAAATATAAATAAATTAAGCTACCAAGAAAAAAAGGGCGGCTCCAACCCTCCAAACAAATCCAATTCCACATCCTTATTTCTGATAAAAAGAAAAAATGTAAATAGAAGAGCTCATAGACAAAATAGTGATGGAATTAACTTGTATTTTAGTTTAAAATCATGTCATACGAGCATATATGACTTTTTATTTTTATTTTTTAAAAGTGCAAATACATTAAGTAGTGTAAACTTAACTAAGGGGCTCTAGCCTAATTAGTTAACATTTTGGTCACCAAAATTTTTTTTTTTTCCTAAAAGAGAGTTCTTGGGTTCTATTCTTAGGAGTAGAATGAGAGGTCAAGATTTTCTTGCAAGTGTATGGGTGTGAGTTTGACCTCTCATGTGCTAATCTTGCAAGTGTATGGGTGTAAATTTGACCTCCTCAATATAATAATTTAACAACAAATCACTAACTTTCACTGATTAAAAAAAAAAAAATAGTGTAAACTTTTAACACACTATTTATTTTTTTATCTAGTCCACTACAATTGCTCTAATAAGTCAGCAATTACAAATCAACTCAGTTACAATTGAGAGGGAGGCTGTTGGACCGGCCCTGTTTGTGTGCTTTTAAGGGGTCAATGATACAACAAAGGATATTTTTAAAATGATTTGGTTGAGATTTATTTTTTTGATTTTCGTATTTTTTTTGTTTTTAGTGAATATTTTTTAAATTTTTAATTTTTTTTTTTACTTTTTTAAATGCACCTTACTTAGATGTATCTAAAAAGTAAAAAATTTATGAAAAACTATTTTAAAAAATTAATAAATACATAAAAATACAAAAAAATATATTGAATTCTTATTTTTTTTTTTTTTTGTATTTTTGGTATTTAGTGAATTTTTAAAATCTTTTTTTTACAATTTTTTTTACTTTTTAGGTGTATTTATGTTAGGTGTGTCTAAAAAGTAAAAAAATTGCTTAAAATATTAAAAAAATTCAGTAAAAATAAAAAAATACGAAAAATACGAAAGTAGAATTTTCTGAAAAGTGAAGACAAGCAGGGGGGACAAAAGTGGATCTAGATTTTATAGCACCAGAGGCCAAACATGGAAATATAAATAAATTGAGCTACCAAGAAAAAAAGGGCAGCTCCAACCCTCCAAACAAATCCAATTCCACATTCTTATTTCTGATAAAAAGAAAAAATGTAAATAGAAGAGCTCATAGACAAAATAGTAATGGAATTAACTTGTATTTTAGTTTAAAATCATGTCATACGGGCATATATGACTTTTAATTTTTATTTTTTAAAACAATCCTGCTGCATACCCCCGGGGGGTCGCACCCCCAGTGAGGTGTCGCGCTCCCACTGGCCGAAACCCAAAAAAAAAAAAAAAAAAAAAAAACAATTTTTTTTTTGGTCCAATTATGGACTGCCACCTCACTAGGGGTCGACCCCAGTGGGTGTATGAGCCATTTTCCTTTTTAAAAATGTAAAAACATTAAGTAGTGTAAACTTAACTAAGGGGCTCTAGCCTAATTAGTTAACCTTTTGGTCACCAAATTTTTTTCTTTTTCCTAAAAGAGAGTTCTTGGGTTCTATTCTTAGGAGTAGAATGAGAGGTCAAGATTTTCTTGCAAGTGTATGGGTGTGAGTTTGACCTCTCATGTGCTAATCTTGCAAGTGTATGGGTGTAAATTTGACCTCCTCAATATAATAATTTAACAACAAATCACTAACTTTCACTGATTAAAAAAAAAAAAATAGTGTAAACTTTTAACACACTATTTATTTTTTTATCTAGTCCACTACAATTGCTCTAATAAGTCAGCAATTACAAATCAACTCAGTTACAATTGAGAGGGAGGCTGTTGGACCGGCCCTGTTTGTGTGCTTTTACGGGGTCAATAGTTAAAAGTAAAAAGTAGAATAATTATATAAAAAAAAATTAACCTACAATCACTCTAAAACTTTTGTTTTTTTTTTAAATAAGATTTTTACTTATCGTGGTCATGCAAGTTCTACCTTGAAATTTTGTAAAACTAGTAGAAAAAGCCATTAGCCTTATTTGAGAAGTTAGTTATTTTAGTTAATTATTTGACTTTTGACTACTTTAAACTATTTGAGAAGTTGAATGGTTTTTTTATGGCTAATTCGATGATTGAAAAAGAAAAAATGAAATGATTATAATTGAATGTGACATTTTATTTTATTAACTATTTTAACATATTTTATCATTTAGTGAGTTATTTTAACCCAACTCTCTTCTCAAATAGGGCCAGTGTTACGTTTGTGCAAGGAGCAACATGTTCTTTTGTTTGAAATGTTTAAAACTTTAATTAGTGATTTGAAAAAAATTAACATTTCCTCATTTTACATGAATTACTACCTAAATCTCAATACACTTAATTAATAAATTATTAAGTTCCTAATTTTAATTTTTATTTCCAAATATATATATATATATATATATTCAAGTTCTTTTGTTTCTTCAATTTTTTTTTTTTTTTTTAATGTTTTAAATTATTAAAAAAAAATTAAGAATATAAAAAGTGTTCAACATTTCTGATTTATGATAAGTTTTTATTCAAGTTCATACTATTTCAGGACATTTCCATTTTCATACTACTTGACATGACACATTGCCTCTATATATTGTGTAGGCTAGAGGGGAAGGTGGCACTGATCACCGGAGGAGCTAGCGGCATCGGCGAATGCACAGCAAGACTCTTTGCCCAACACGGCGCCAAAGTAGTCATTGCAGACATCCAAGACGAGCTCGGCCAGTCTGTGAGCGCGGACATAGGCCTATCCACATGCACCTACATTCACTGCGATGTCACCAACGAAGACCACATCAAGAACGCCGTCGACAAGACTGTCGAAACCTACGGAAAACTGGACATCATGTTCAACAACGCCGGCATATCGGATCCCAACAAACCCCGTGTGGTCGACAACGAAAAGGCCGACTTCGAACGCGTTCTGAGCGTGAACGTGACGGGTGTTTTCCTGGGCATGAAACACGCAGCCCGAGTCATGATTCCTGCCAAGAGCGGCTCCATCCTCTCCACGGCAAGCATAAGTTCGAGCGTCGGTGCTGCAGCCTCGCATGCTTATTGCTGCTCGAAGCACGCAGTCTTGGGCCTAACGAAAAACATGGCAGTGGAGCTGGGACAATTTGGCATTCGGGTTAATTGCTTGGCACCATATGCACTTGCAACTCCTCTGGCAACCAAGTTTGTAGGGCTTGACGATGAGCAACTTGAGATGGCTATGAGTGCCTTAGCTAATCTTAAGGGGGTAACACTCAAGGCAGAGGATGTTGCTAATGCGGCACTTTATCTAGTGAGTGATGAGGCCAAGTATGTAAGCGGACACAACCTTTTTATAGATGGTGGCTTCAGCATTCACAATTCGGCATTTTCCACATGTTTCAGTATCCTCCAGATTCTTCATCTTAGGCCTTTCACTGGCTGTTTGTGTTGGGAATTGGATTGGATCTGACCCGATTCATAACCCATGAAACATCTAAATGGATTACAAGATTATTATCATATAATTATCATAGGATAATTATTGTATTATCTTTAATTATTTGAATCGTATGATAACATAATTATTTAGTTATTTATAAGAGAGTTTTAATGAAAGTGGATTTCTATCTACATAACTCTATATATCAGATATGGAGAAAAGAAACATACGTGTGTTGTATGGGATTTTACTTGTAAGAGATTCTGGAAAATTGTTAACAACAAAAAAAGAATTTTTACAGCACTACATGCACGTCGTGGATACTATTCTATGACGTGCAGCGTTACGTCATATTATGACCAATTATGGAAAGTCATTCACTTTCAACGACATGTCATAGTACACCGTTAAAAACTATTTAAAAGCAGATCTTGTGCGTCATTTTTACTTTTTCTATGACTACTTTTGCATGTCGTTATTTGGCGGGACAAATAACAACGCTGATTGTGTGCCGTAAAATATGTAAATACAACGACTTGCTCAGCCTGCCGTAGATAAGTAGAGCATACCACGGCGTTCGTGGAATACTGTGGAATATTTCATATAATGGCCTAATTTGCTTGGGGTAGAATATGCATTATTATTATTATTCTTTTAATTCAGCGGGTTTTATTTTGACCTGTTTTGTACAATCTAACATCACAAACAAGTTTCACAAAATAGTAATCAACTACCAAAATATTGTTTCAAGCATAAAAAATAAACCATATCCATAAATTATGAACATTCACAAATTGTCAATATATACATCCCAAACATCCAAAAACTAATCGTAAGTTCAAAACCATCCAAAAGGACTATCCTTAAGTTCTAAATTATCCAAAAAATTATAAACCATCCAAAACTGTACATGTATAAATTCGTAAATATTACCCAAAACTATTCAAAGATTATAAAAATCTATTCATCAAAGTCTTCAAAAACTATCCATAGATGTTAGGAATTCTACTCAAAGTCAAAGCTAATAAAATGGGTTGGCCAAGCAACAGTGCTTCCAATAGCATTCTCAAGCACAAACGTCTCACGATTAGGGCGAAACAATGGCGCATTGACTATGACATGGTTAACCCGTACTTTCCAACACCTAGGGCCAAGAGGCACGTGATGTACCAATGCTTTAGAATCTGTTGATGCAATTGTGCGTTCCTCAACCACCAGCTTTGTTCTATCCCAATTCAACAATTTACATTTGGCATTGTCCAAAGATCCATCATTTCCATTTCCATTTGCATCATGCAACTATTATAAAAGCAATACATAAAATAAGCTAATGAATTGAAGACAAAATTAAGATTATTATTAATGCCATATAAAATTTACCCAAATATCTTCATCCCCTTTCACTGTTTTCGTTACTCTAAAAAAATTGTAATACAATGTCAAGTTATATTTATTTACTCAAATTTAGTCGATGATATGGGATGTATATGAAAATTTGACAAAAGCTCTTAAGTATAAAAGCAAGCAAGCAAACAAAAGTACAAGAACGAGAAAAATGCAAATGAGTAAATTAATACAAAATTTACCCAAATATTTTGTTGTGATTGCATTCTACGTTCACCACCTCCGTGCACCCTATGTTCACCTCTACTGTTTTCCTTACCCTAAAAAAATTGTAATATAATAGCAAGAAGCATTTGTTTACTCAAATTTAGAATCTTAATGTAATCCATATGCAAAATGACAAGCTTGAGTAGAAAAGCAAGCAAGCAAAAACACAAGTATGAGAAATGTGCAAGTGTACCTGGATTTCTCCATGTGAGTGTCCATTCGCCCCTTTGCTAATTAGCTCCTACAAGTATTAATCAATTTTTTATTTTTTACAAATTTTGTGAAATATCCTTCTATCCAAGATGGGAAGCACATGTGACAAGAAATTCCAATTTTAATAAATGTACACGAGACCCATTATGATAATAAATTTAAATAAGAAGTCTATGGACTGTATAGTTCTTTTCATAAAATTAGAAAAAAAGACAAAGAATTAGAAAAAGCTACCTGGGTTTCTCCATGAGAATTTTTTTTGCCCGTTGCATCTTCGCTTGGTTCCTACAAGTTTTAATTGATTTTTTTTTAAACTTTAATGAAACATCAATATATATAACATATATTATCACATTCTTCATTTTTTTAAACTTGATTTTGCCTTTTTCCTTTTAACATTTTAGCTTTTATCTCTCAGAGTTCTTGTTCTAAGAGCAGCAATTTTTGATTTAGTTTTCTCATATTTTGATTTTGGTATGCTTGTGCGTCAACTTTCGAAGGCAATGCTCCAAATCCAAGCCCTCTTGCACTACCATGCCGTTTTGGACCAAACGCTTGAGCAATTGCATCATCTTTGATAAACGTTGGCCTTTGTTCTGTAGAAGGCTTGTGAAGCTCTTGAACTTTATTCTGCAATATATAACATTTATGATAAGGAAGCCAAGTTTGACAATGTAATATGTATACATTTTAATGATATTGCTTCTCCAAATGGTTTGTAGAAAGTTTTAAATAGGTTTTACAAAATTTCTTTAGTTTCCAAATTGTAGAGACATAATTTTTTTGGGATTTTGAGTTGTTCTAATGTATATAAAATTAAGAACTTTTCTTATTCAAACGGAGAACATGCTTTAGATATATATATATATATTTGAATTTATTGAAGCTCTCTTCCCTAATCCTAGGTATGTTGCCTAGAATTTCTTAATCTTCTTAATTTCCCCCCTTCCCCCTCACCCACTTTAAAGCTCTTTAAAGTGCAGTATCGTACCTGTTTCAACACAATCTCCCTATCAATTAAGTCCCCAGGTAATTCATTTGGAAACACATCAGAAAATTCATACACAACAGGAATAGTGTCCACATTAGGACTATCAGAAGTCTCAGTCATAACATAGCACATATAACCCCTACATCCCTTCATAAGTAATTTAACAACTTTCATGGAAAAAATCAAGTATGGGGGAGGAACTATCCCATTCCCAGCAAATACAAACTCAGGTTAACCAGGTGGACGAAACACAACAGACTTATTTGCACAATCAATAGTTCCACAGTACTTCGTCAACCAGTCCATACCATGTATGCAGTCAAAATGATCAATTCTCAAATACAATATCACATCACCAATCACAATATCATATGTTTAGATCATATGCCAGATAAACATAAGCACATACCATAGAACCCCCAGATGGTGTAGATACAGATAGTAAATAATTCATGGCTTCTAAAGGTCTAGTTAATTTCTAGAAAAAGGCATGCGGCACAAAAGAGTGTGTAGAACCAGAAACTATCAAGAGATATGCATTTTGGGCACAAATGAAGATTATACCTGACACCACAGATTCAGTGTTCTGTATATCCCCAAGTACTTGTGTGAACACTCTCCCTTGCCTTAACATTTCATTCCCAGTGTTGCCCCTAGCATTAGTTCTTGCGTTTGACCTCGATACAGAAGTAGATCCGACTGAACTTGTTGCTACGCGATTGGCATTCTCAGACCCAAGTGGACAATCTTTCATTATGTGGCCAACTTTGCCACACCGGTAATAGGCATGAGATGTACGGTAACACACCTCTATGCTTCCTTCCGCAATCAGGACAAATTGGAATAAACCCACTGCTCTGACTTGAGCTACTTTTAGACCCCGTGTTTTGCTTTTTGCTTCCAAATGAGCTGCCACCACAACAAAAAAAGGTTTTTATGGCGCCCAATGCACGCTGTAAAAACCCTTCTACGACGTGCAGACGCATGTTATATTATGACCAGTCATGAAAAGTCATTCACTTTCAACGACATGCTTCGTACACCGTTAAAAGTTATTTAACGACAAATTTTGTGCGTCATTGTTACTTTTTTTACGACATGTTATAGTACGCCGTTAAAAACTATTTAACGACAGATTTTGTGTGTTGTTGTTACTTTTTCTACAACTACTTTTGCACGCTGTTAATTGGTGCGACAAACAACAACGTTGATTGCACGCTGTAAAATATATAATACAACGACTTGATCAGCCTGCCGTAGATAAGTAGAACATACCACGACGTACGTGAAATGCTGTGGAATATTTTATATAATTACCTAATTTGCTTGCTGTTGAATGCGTATTTTTTTTTTTAATTCAGTAGATTTTATAAATGACTTGTTTTGTACAATCTAATATTACAAACAAGCTTCATAAAATATTAATCAACCACCAAAATATTGTTTCAACCATGAAAAATAAACTATATCTATAAATTATAAACATTAAAAAATTGTCAATATATACATTTCAAACATCCAAAAGGACTATCCTTAAGTTCTAAATTATCACACCCCGTATTTTATTACTCGGATAACATTACTAATATTCATTAATTAAGTCCATTTACAAATAACATTTCATCCTTGGATGAAATGATAAATAATTAAATATACATATTCCCTCTTGTTATACAACAATGACATCTTACAATAAAAGAAAGGACACTACTCTTTATAAAAAAATAACACTCAGCCAAACAACAAATGAAGTAATACAATCCATCACAACATTACATTTATGAAATGGTAAAACCCATTGTTTGATCTTCAAATCCGAAAAGCATTCCCTTCACACATGTACAGGCAGGGGGTGAGCAACCACTAGCTCATCAAACAATCTCACATTAAAATATTAGAAGCTATGCGGGTACCAAAATACTCATACATATACGTGAAATCATATCATGTCAAAACCATATGATTTTATTACATAATCTCTTAAATCTAATTTATTTAATTAACCACAACAAGTTAACTTAAATAAATAAATATGTTTCAATAGCATCAAGACATCATTTTCAATTCATTCAATTGAATCAAATTATTAAACAATTCATCAAATCCATTTTATACAGTTTTATGAGATGAATGCATATGCCATGTCATGCTCAAAATATTTTTCTTATCTTTTGAAAATCTTACGCACAATGCCATTTTAAAAACACATTAATCCAACAATTTCAATAAAATTCCAAGATGGTAAATACGACTCAGGTAATCCTTAGTCTGGTGTCTGCAAGTAGTCTATACAAGTACTATCAATTTGTCATTTTTACCAGTATTAACTAGAAGGCTCGACACCTGTAATTTGTCATTTTTACCAGTATTAACTTGAAGGCTCAATACCTGTAATCTGTCATTTTTACCAATGTTAACTGAAAGGCTCAACACCTATCATCTATACCACCTTTCAAGACTTACCACCGTATTTATCCCAAAATCATATCATGAAAACTTGTTTCCCAACATTCCTTTCTCAATGCAAAGTTTTCAAATCAAATTTCAAAGGTTATCATTATCAAATGAATTGATATGCCAATACAATGATTAATAATATAATGCAATATTTCTTCCACTTTCAATACTTCCACACAATATTCCCATTGTGATCAAAATTCTCATTTCTCATTTCAATATAATTTTCTAAGATGAATATAAATACTTTTATTCCAATTCATCCATGGGACAACAAAATTCTCACACTTAGAGTAATCTCAACCATTTAGTCACTTCAAGACTATATCAACATTTTTAACAACAATTTTCAAAACTTCAACAATTCTCATATTCCATGAAAACCATCCTTTATATGTAAACAAATAAACAAAATTTTCAAACATCATTTATTTTGGCACACAAAATAAATATAACAACATCTTCAAAGATTGTCAACATATTTCTTAAAGATCTCTAATTTCTAGGTTTTTTCACCAAAACCACTCATCTTCATTTTGTTGAAAGAAAGTCACCAAAAACATCTCTCTTCAATCCTCATAGTTTAAAACCCTCAATTTCTATTTTAAGAGGAATAAGAAAGTAAACCCACTTTCAAAAAAATCTCTCATCTTCTTGAATCAACAATCAATTTTCAAAACAAATCAAAGGATGATTTCGAAAATTATCTAGATCTTACAAAAACGTATATATATAACTATATTTCAACATAACCACTTTTCATGCCAAGCTATTTAAAGAGGTAATATTTTTACCAAATTCTCTACCAATAACAATTTCACAACTTTTTCTAAAATTACTTAACTAACATGATATTTACATAAAAAATTATGAAATATGCCCAATAGTAATTTTTCAAGGTTATGAGTTTGAAAGTTCACATTTCACATTTTTATTTTTATAAAAATGAACACAACTTAATCATCAATATATCATTTCTTATAAAATATCATGAATATAACACTTTTAGGGTTTTAATCTCAAAGCAACTCTATAATTCCTACTTAAGCATTTACTCCATATTCCTCAATATTAATTTATTTTTCTCAAAAATAAATTGCAAATTAAAGATAAAAAAAATTCAACTTTATTTTTCTCAAAATAAATCATCTAATCATAATATGATGTAGAGACAATCCATACAACCATTAAAGTTTATTTTCGGATTTCTTTGCAAAGTTATCAACACAAATTATTTTTTCCAAATCAATCTCAAAATGCCAACATTCTTAACATTTCAACATAATTTTTCTTTCAAAAATTACCAAACAAAAATTTAAAAATATATATATATATATATACAATACCTCTTATAATGATATATTTTCTCAAAATAACCCTAACATAATTTTAATGTAAAAATATGAAGAAAATTCATACCTCAAATAATAAAGAAGAGCAGATTTGGAAGGCAAATCTTGCCCGATCATGAATCCGAGACTACCATTGTGAAGACTGTGATGAGCTCTCCGACTTTCATTTACAATACTTTTATAAAATCTCACTCTAAAAATTCTCACTCTAAACTCAAAGCTTGAGCAATCATGAAAAATAAAGAGAGAGAGAGAGAGAGAGGACACCCTGCCAACCAACAAAAAGATGAAAGGAAAAGGAAGGGCAAAGAAGGAAAGGATAAGGAAAGAGGGAGATGAGGGCAGCCCACGTGGGTTGTCTTCTAAAAAAATAAATTCATTTCTGAAAAATATAATTTTTTTAAAATAATACTTTCAAATTTTATAATATAAATTATAAAATGATATAATTTTTTCTATCACAAAATATAATATTTTTGTACACCACAAAATATAATATTTTGCTCATTATGAAATATGCACTTATTTCTTTTACTATAAAAATATATAATTTTTCACCATATGATACCCACCATAAATTCAACTTTCGAATATTATTATAATCCCATATAATAAATAATAATAACTTACTAATCACATAATTAAAAGGGACCAAATAATTAAATATAAATCATAAACAAATTCAAATTAAATTGAAACATGGTCCAATTATATACCAAAATCAACCCAACTAGTTTATCTCAATTCATGGTCCAAACACTCAAAATTCAAAATCAAATTCTGCTATACACTGGACCGAACACCGATCAGTTCGCGAATTTTCATCAAATATACTCATCATTAAATTCTGAAATTTTTACCCAACGTGCTAGACTCTTATGTGAATAAGATATAAAAATTTCATAATTTTCTGAGATCGGGAACTATTTTAAAAAAATACAAAATCGAACTATTTTCACACAGAATTTACACAGTAGTCAAATCCAAAATTTACTCAATTAAATTATATACGGTCTATTTTTTTAGAAAAATTATGGGTCATAAATTATCCAAAAAGTTATATACCATCCAAAACTGTACATATATAAGTTGGTAAACATTACCCCAAACTATTCAAAAATTATAGAAATCTATTTATCAAAGTCCTCAAAAACTATCCATAGATGTTTGTTCTACTCAAAGTCAAAGCTAATGAAATGGGTTGGCCAAGCAACAGTGCTTCCAATAGCATCTTCAGGCACAAATGCAAGCCCTCTTACTCTACCATGCCGTTCTGGACCAAATGCATGAACAATTGCATTACTTTTTATAGACATTGGCCCTTCTTCTGTAGAAGGCTCGTGAAGCTCTTGAACCTTATTCTGCAATATATAACATTCAAGATAAAGAACCCAAGTCAGACAATGTTAGTAATAAGTAGGTCTTTTCTTCAATCTTCTTTCCTTGTTTTTGTTTTATTTGATGTAATTTGTGCTAAAATCATGATGTATAATATAATTAGCTCTAAAAACTTTCGTTATCACTTCTTTCTTTTCCTATGCACAATAGAAAACACTTCTCCTTTTACTAAAGTATAATGTATTTTGCACCCATAAGAGGGAAAGGGTCGAGAAAGAATCATATACATGTTAACAAAACAAAGAAAGTGATGTATGATCCCCTAATTTTATTATCTTGCAGGCCATCTTACTTCTTGGATGGTAAGAGATGCAAGTGAAACTTTGTTTTGCAAACTCACGAGGCAAAGAAAAATCCTTCAAGGATAAGTTTTGTGAATATATAGATATATTAAAAAATCAAACAAATTAGAAGAAAATTAAAAAATGTAGAAACTATACATGAATTATAGCATGCAAGTCATATGAAAGAAGTTCTAAAATACAGGACCCTTTCATCTAAAAACTCCTCCACTTTTTAACCACCCTTTCCCTTATAATTCTAAACCCTTAATGAGCAAACTTTTCATGACCCAAGTCCCATTTCTCAAATTCCTAGTGTTGGCCTACATCATAAAACCTCCAGAGTCATAGGGAAGGGGATTTTGTTATAATGTTGGCCAAACAATCTGCTAAAATACTCTACAAGTCTGGAATCATACAAGTATACCAATACGGAACAAAAATGCTCTGTACACATTTCCCATTCTCCTTGATGAAGTCTAGATCTTTCACAAAATGAATTTTTTTGTGAATACAAAAGAAAAAATCAGCAGTTCCAAAATGCATAGGGATTTGTAAAACTTGGCAATTCTGATGAGATGAACAAGTACTAGTGAGTAGAAGAAATTTCCAAGCCATAGAATTTGAGGAATATTGGGAAAAGAAAATAATTGCACAACAAATTGTCCAAAAATTCAACAAGAAACAAAGAAATGAAATTAACCATAAAGAAGAGCAAGCAAACATCTACTCACATATTATAGCACCACTACCACTACAGTTCTGACACACGGGTCTTTCTTTTCCATCCAAAGCAATTGCTGCCTTTGGTCCAGAAATAGAACTGCTAATGTTTAACAAAGCTATAGTTGAACATAAACACTTCAAACAATTCTGTCGCGAGGTTTGTGTCTGAGATCCCTGTAGTAATGTAAATTAGAAAATTTTACCTGAATTAGTGGAAGATTTCTAACCCATTCTAATTTTAACTAGACTCACCCACCAAAAATTAAACAAACTTAAAATAAATATATAAATTTAAGTTTCTAGGAAGTTGAGGAAAACATATCCCTCCATGTTGATTGGTTCTGATGAAGGGTCTGAAACGTTGATCTCATTTTCCAACCCGGATTTTACATGAAACCCAACTGACCTCAAGTGTGCTATATTAATTATTCATCACCAGAAAATAAAAAATTAGAAAAAAATAAATCAAATACACAAAATTTGAAAAAATCCTGGAATTGTCTAAATTCTGAAAAATTCAGTAGAATTGGGTTTGATTGTAAAAATTCAATTACATTTGAGAAACCAGTCATGATTTTTAGAGTTTTTGCGTGGAAGAGAGTAGTGAGTGAGAGTATTCACAGGGCAAAAGGACTGCAATGAAATGCTAAAAAAACAAATAATACTAATGGGCATTTTGATGGTTTAAAATTGAAAAAGGGCAGAGAAATTGGGGGGGACTCACAGTGCTTTAGGGAGTACAGAGAGCAGACTTGGAAAGCTAAGGAGGCCACTACAGTGGATGAGAGATGAAACGCCATCCCTCTCTCTCTGTCTCTCTCTCTGTGCGAAGAAGATACACCTATCACAGAGAATTTGTAAATGTGAACAACAAAAAAGTGCTAGAAACAATTACATGTTCTAAAATTACTATAAGATGATGCATTAACCTACTTCCTATAAGTCTCTATCTGAGTTTTCAACGCATGGTACTGTTACAAAATTCATGAAGCTTTGGATAGTTAGCTAAATTGATGCAAAAAAATTCGTATGTATTCATTCTAGACAGAAGAGGAGAGATTATGAGGGAGTAGAAGAAAGCATTGAAGCAGCAAAAAATGGGAAACTCACACAAGGAGAATAGGAAGATTGAAATGATGTTATCTATATAAAAAAATGCAAAAGAATAATTTTAAAAAAAAGGGCAAAAAACCCAAAAAGGCTGTTCACACCAACTGTATAGACAAAATGAAGCATTAATGAGCCTCTCGGGTGGCCCACGGAGTTGGGGGTACAATCCCCAGCTCTACCAATTAGTGAAGCTGTATCATGCAAGATAATTTATTTATAGCCTTCAAAAAAGGTCTCCAATGAAATTTTGATGAAATTGCAACAAATCAACGAAAAAGATATGAAAATGAGAAAAAATGACAAAAAATAAAAATAAAAATTGTGACTTAAATCGGAAACCAATATCTTAGATCACAAATAAAAAAAATGTATGTGCCTGGGAGTTAAATTCAAACACACTCATCATCATGTGCCAAAGGTTGGCGTTTGAAGATTCACATAAAGGTACTCATGCATCTACTTTAAAGTTGATAAGAAATTCATTCAAACATTTAGTTTATTATAAGAAGACTTAAAATGCCACAGCAAACATATTTTACTGAAGTAAAATTTAAAAGGAATATTAAAGGACTAAGTACTAGTTGAATGGTGAACTGGCATGGATCACACATCTGAACAGAGAATTTCCGAACAGGAAAAGTAATTACTCAATATGATAAAGTAAGAATTCAATAAATCAAAAATTCATAAAGGTAATCCTAAAGCCGACCATTGAGAGTGTTTACCTTAAAAGCATTGGGGATTGTGTTAGTCATTTTATCAGGAACAAAACCTCTTGCTATTGTTCCCAATATTTCGGAGACAATTGTGATCCCTTCAAAAACCGAATCTGGTTCGCTCTGCCAAAAGACCCAAGTTAAATGTTTTTACATCTACTGTTACTTTATCTGAAATTATCTTCTAACATGCAATAAACACAAAAGAAAGATGAATCAGGTGTCGTATAAAGTGATATAAAAACTATTCTTATTACAAAAAATAAAATAAAAATCTTTGAAATTTACCATGTGATATATATTATAACCAGCTTTTGGCCCCCAATATGAATATGCACCTATGACAAAGTTGTAAGCTATGTAACCTGCCAGTGAGCATTCACAGTAGAAGAATTAGTATATAGAAACATAGGACACAAGCATAATTACTAAAGTTATTACATTCTACAGAGTGAATGTTTCAACAACTACATAATTGTAGTTACACTTATGAAGCCAACACTGTAAAGCAAATAAATTAGCCATCAAGTCTATGGGTGCATTAAAAATATCAAACAAAAACTCATCTATGATAACCTTTCTACAAATAAGAAAATAGCACGAAAGTTGAAAGTGAAGTGTGATGAACAATTTTCTGCAAATAAGAAACTAGCACAAAAGTTGGAAGTGAAGTTTGATGAACAATATACCTAGAACATTTACGACGTAAACCTGCTCAAGCAAAAGCACTTTCATATCTTTCAAAAATCTTGATAACTGATCCAGATTAATAAATCCACATTTTGGCCTGCAATAAAAATAAGATTCAAAAAAATTAATCAGTATTCCTGTCTATCCTGAGCTTGTATAGTTGCAAACTTCGAAGGCAGCATAAATTCATGCCCAATCATATGCAATCATAGGTCACAAATCATGAGCTTCAGGAGGAGAGTCCTCACTTGGAAGGTCCTTTTGAGGTTTGATCTACGAATTCTTCCTTCATGGATAGCATGCCACCTTTACTGGTTGAATCATCTGTATTTATAACAAGCATCAATCAAACTACTAAAGGTAAAGAAGAAAACTACATTCTAAATACAATTATGAACAAGAAAATCTCAAAGCTACCATGCCAAAATATCATTATCTAACTTTCAATCAAATACTGGATATCACTTGACTGAAAGAAAAGTTGAAGACTAAAGTGAAGTAATTAGGCTTCTCGATGGGGTTATTCCCACTCCAATTCAGTTAGTCAGATTTGTTAAGACGAGTATGAAGCATTGGACTCCATATCGAATTGATTCTTTAACTAAGAGATCAATATCAAAAGAATATAAATTGCATAACATAATAGTTATAAATAGATATACATAATATTCCTTTTTACAAGAAGTGATAGATACATATATAATGGAAATAAATTTGTATAAAATTAATATGGATAAATGATAGTAAGAACCATAATATTATCATGATTCAAGTTTAAAATAATTCTATTGAATTAATTTCTCAAAATATTTTGTTTATTGTTTCTCAAAAATTGTCTCTCAAGAGACAAACCAAACAAGGCCATGGTTGTTCAACAAATTTAGATTCAAAATATTGTTGACTGGATGATCCATAAGGTTATCCTAGGTATTTACTTTTACTTAAAACTAATTGCCTCATCCATTTCAAATCCCATAATGGAAAAGCACATCCTTAAAATTTGCATTGGTTATGTGTCACAGTCTAAGTAAAATGGCTAGACTCCACTAGGCCCAAGCCAGCCATATGCCCATAACCCTCCAATTCTTCGCCTCACTTTCATCATTTTTCAAGCCTACAAGTTTCCCAGACAAGAATGACTCCCCAAAGGAAGTCATGCATATCCAATGTTACCTGTAAAAATTTATGTATTATTGATTGATGTTTATTGATTTAAATGTTATGGTTACAATGATTCCTATATATAGGAGAGGATGAGTGTGTAGTAGGTGAGGAGTAGGTGAAGTGGAGGTGGTAGTGGTGTAGTGGGTTAGGTTTAGTGGAGTAGGTTTAAGTCGTGTATAATTAATATATTAACGGCATGCTATATACACGTCGTAGAGAGTTTTATTATTTACGACGTACATTGCAAGCCGTAAAAAAATCAATGTTATTACCATTCACGGCTTACACAATAGACATGCCGTGGTTGAAAAAGTATATACGACGTGCAAAAAAAATAAGTCATAAAAGTGAAAAACTACGGCGTGCATTTATTGTATGCCGTTGATGTAGTGGCGTAAAAAGTCAGTTTGTTGTAGTGTGCCCTTTCTAAACTTGTACCCAGACCTCTTACTTATCCATTATGTTGTTGTCGGGGCCTTGGTTTGTTTCATAACTGCTAAGTTAGCTTTTTCCATTAAGGCTCGGTCGAGCACATCCACATACGTAGGCAATTTCAAGACGCCAACTCTGTCAAACACTTTCAAAGTCAAGCCTCCTTCAAATTTCCATGCCTTTTGTAATCGATATCCACCATGTGTGGAGCAAACCGGGCCCACTATAGGAAATCAGGGATTAAGGCTTTTAATTAATGGCATTTTATGAAACGCCACTTTTTCTAATAATAAATGACGTTTTTTAAATGTCGTAATTGTTATTAATCAAAACGGTCCCGTTTTATGAATAGATGACGCTTTGAAACGCCTCCAAATCCTATCTCTCCACAAACCCTATTTTGTCTCTCCAAACCTTTATTTTGAAAACTCACCGCCGTCTACAATATGAAGTTTAAATCTCTCACTCACTCCAATCTCTCACTCTCATGCTCTCTCTCAATTCTTCTTCAGAGCGATTGCAATTTCGAAGTTTCTCAGAGCCAACCTATCTGCATCCGTATGGATTCAATCTCATAGTTTCTCAGAGCGATTGCGATTTTGAAGTTCGATTTTGAGCATCGCCGTCTACAATCTCAGAAAAACCAATCGAATCTTTCAAAATCTGTTTCAGCTCTGTGGATTTGGAAATCTTCATCTTTTTCGATTAGAGGTTAGTGCTTTCGGTCATCCTGTCTGTCTGCAAACCCTATTTTGTCTCTCCAAACCCTTATTTTGAAAACCCACCGTCGTCTACAATATGAAGCTCGAATCTATCACTCACTCAAATCTCCCACTCTCTTGCTCTCTCTCTCTTTCTGGTCCATGGGTATAAGATGCAAGTATGTTCTGTGGAATCATTGTCAGTTGCTGAGGGTTTTAGATCGAATCAATATGAAGTTCTCTCTCTTGATTCTTCTTCAACTTGGTGATTCCTCTCAAAGTGATTGCGATTTCGAAGTTCAATTTTGAGCACTGCCATCTACAATAACCAATCAAAACTTCAAAATCTGCTTCAACTCCGTGATTTATCTCAGTGGTGGTGTTCTGTTTGTGATTTATCTTTGTTGATTTGGAACTCTTCGTCTTCTTCGATCAGAGGTTAGTGCTTTCAGTCCTTTGTTTTACAATCTCAGAACTCTACAATCTCATTAGATGGAAGGACAGAATATTCATTGGATCCTGTGCTATATTCAAAGGTTAGAACTCTACAACCTTTGTTTTTCAATTCTATATCATGTGCTATATTCATTGGATGGAAGGACTGAATATTATTGAATGATATTATATAACACTGCTTAATGTTCAAATTGTAAAAATTCCATGCCACTTCAATTTTCCTGTTCATATAAAAAGTTGCCTCGACATTGGACTCCTAGATGAATGCAACATGAGGTAGTAAAGAAATCTATGCTGAATTATAATTTATAAGAAAACGAAGCTACATATATATTCTTATTAGTGAGATTGAGAAAACAAAAGAAGCCCCAGAAGTTATGTGTATTAAGGGTGAGAATGCATGTAGGAATTAGTAAAAGTTGAGACGAGGGTTTGTTGTGTTGTGTGGTGAAGATACCTTGTATGTTGTGTCGAAGATCAGAAGTGGAATGAAACATTAGAGAGGTTGAGATAGAGTGCTTTTTTAATTTTGTTTATTTATTATTTGTAGATAAGGTGGACTTCAGATGGAGAAAGAGATTCATTTACGTGGACCTCGTTTTAAAAGTTTTTCTTGCATATATATTGTTTTAGAACTCTTCTTCTTTTTGGTTTGGTTGCTGGTAACTTCCTCCATATTCCTATGTCTGTAATTTGGTATTTAATTGGACAAATGTATGGCTTAGTAAATGTGGCCGTGTGTTCTTCTCTTATTCATGTTTTGGCTTTCCTAATTCAAAATATGCTTACTTAATTTTCAGAAACTTGGTGGCATAATAGCTTTTCTGGATGAAGCTTGGTAAGTGTCATACTACTGTAAGCATTGTCTATTTTATGTAGGGTAATGGCTTGAAAATAAATTCATCGCATTCACTATTAATTTATGATTTCATTTGATAGTTCTTGTGAGATAGATGAGGCTTATTTTTTTGCTGTATGTTCCCAAGATCAACACATGAAACCTTATTCAGAATCCATAAACGCTTCACTAAGCCAAAATTATCACGTTCTGATTTCACTAATTGCCATTATGCTAATGATGTAAGTTTCTATTCTTTGTGTTATTATATGTACTTATTTAATAGTTCATTCAGCTCCAGAATATACACTTTTGAAACAAAAAACATTTACCAACACTTCAATTTATTTTGCAGGTCACCTATCAAACTGAATTTTTTCTGGACAAAAACAAAGATTATGTTATTGCTGAACATCAAGCACTCTTGAGTGCTTCCAAATGTTCTGTGTCGGGTTTGTTTTCAATTTCATCTGAGGAGTCCTCTAAACAATCAAAGTTCTCTTCAATAGGTTCATGGTTCAAGGTCTGATGATCTCTCTCTCTCTCTCTCTCTCTCTCTCTCTCTCTCAAATTATCTAGTTCTTTTGTACAACAGCTTGACTTACGAAATTCCTGTTGTACTTTTTGCAACAATAATTGCTTGAACTCTGAGTTTGACTGAGCCTCGTTATATTCATTGTGTGAAGCCCAATAATCTTCTTAAGCCAGCTATTTTTGAGAATAGCAATGTTCTCAAAAATAACCTTTAGATAGTCACTAAATAGCTATTTTGGGGGTAAGGAAGGGTAACTTTTACATGGTGTTGGAAACGAAGCTGGCCGCCTTCTTTTTTTCTTTCAAATTTTATTTGTTTTATGTGTCTCCTTCCAGGGAGTCAATGAGGCAATTAGGATTAGTTGTGCTGGATATCCTACAAGAAAACCTTTTTTGGAATTTGTAGATCGATTTGGCGTGCTGGCACCTGAAGTTTTGGATGGGAGGTAATTTGATTTTTTTTTTTTTGATTTGGGTTAGTTTGATTTCTTGGTTACTTTTTATAATTAGGATCAGTTGTGTTGGATGTATTGATTCATCATGAATACATCTTTTTCATGTTTGGTTGTTTATCATACCTTTAAATCTGCCTCGAACTGTGATGGATGTTTATGATGCCAATGCTTCAATATAAAAAGGAATACTAGCTAGATTGATGATTGCTGATTCCCCTGATATCATTGATATGTTTGAAACATATCATTGTTATATTTATGATGTTCTTATATTTAGGTGCCGATAAAAAAAAAAACAAGTAATTAGGCACTATAATTCTCATTTGCATGAAAACCAAAGATATGAGGCTTCAAACATTAGGATATATTTGTTCATCCAATACAAGGAGGGGAGGCTAAACCCTCTAAATTTGGACTTCAAAACATGATTTTGGCCACTGAAATAACTCTGAAAAATAGTGTTTAAAAGCTCAAAAAAAGATAATGCAAAGGT